CCCGACTCTAAGGGGCCCCCAAATCCAAAACATTCTGAAGTTGAAGCATATAAACATGAACTTCGTTCAACGACATGTCCTAGCAACGTCTCAATTTTCTGTCTCTTATGAACATTGAATGTGCTATTAAAAAAGCTTATTGATGAAATCATTGATAAATTTTTGTATATTTTGTTCTCATATATATATATTGTGATGTGAGAGGTTTGGTGTTCAATTGTGAGGGTTGGAGAAAGGAAAAATCACAATGTGCCTCTGCATACATGTTGTATTGGATGCACACGCAGCCTTGGTGCTGGGAAGGGCAGCATGGTTACAAGCGTGATGTAGAGAGAGCTGCTGGTTGGTGAGGGTGCTCAGAGGAGGATAGCTTGTGGGTCGTTATGCTCGGCCGGGCGGGAGGCGTTTTGCAGGGCTGCCAGGCAGTGAGGAGGAGGTGTGTTGCTGGCTGGTTGGTGGAGGCAGTAGAAAGAGACAGGTCACCACGAAGTCACTGTGGGTCTTAAATAGCGGGGGTAGGCGTGGCTTAGTAGTTGACCCCTGCCTGCGGATGTAAGGCGGCTCTGGTTGACCGAACACGAGGCACACTGTGGAATTCGTGGGGTCGCTACGCAACGACAACAGCGTTTGGGGGAGAAATCCACTACAATTTTGAGGGTAAGGCCCTAGTTGATATGTGCCTCAGGCCCCTATTAAGCTTAATCCGCCCTGTTTATAGCTTTCCGAATTACTGGTATATAAGAATACGGTGAATACCGTAATTTGTGCAGTTATCAACAAAGAATCACCATCAAAAACTCACCAAAATGTATTTCCCGCAAGTTAAAATATAAATTTAACATGTAACACTTTACCTACAGACCTACACAAGAAGCTCCCCCCCCTGTTAAGTTAAATGCCTGTCTGTTGGTGTCGCCACACATGGGCAGAGTTTTTCTACTCCCAACATTAGACAAGAACTCTTGTGGGAACCTAGCTGCTTGGTTAACCCTGAATTGAACGTGGTTTGTGAAAAGCACAGATGCAGTTTAGCATATTGTAGGCTGAGTAGTTTTGATGAGTGTCCTTCCGATGGGCGGTAGAACTGGGGCTTCAATTCTGCGCAGACTTTGCAAGATGCACATGTTTCTTTTAAATCTTCTGTTGGGTATGGGAGGTTTTTTATCTCACAAAGTGTAAGAGCCGAGTCACTCCAGGATGGCAGAGTCCATTATGCAGGAGGGGTGTGGTTATCTACGCTAGGCAAGACCTTAGAGCCAGCCAGGCGAGGGTACAGGGAGAGGATGTTTTTGAAGAGTCCAAGTGGTGTAAAATTAAATTAAAGGGAGGGGACTTATCGTTGGGTGTATCTACAGATCCCCAAACTGTGGCCCACTAAATCAAAGGAACTTAAGAACCTTAATAAACAATGCGGCGATGCTCAACCCCAGCCACCTCCTTATCATGGGGGACTTTAACTATGGCGACATCGACTGGAGAAACGAGTCAACCCCGAATGACTTGAATAATCCTGCTACTCTTTTTGTAGAAACTCTGAGAGATAATTTTCTGTTCCAACATGTGAGAGACCCGACACATTACAGAGGGGATCAAACACCCAAGCCACTTGACCTCATCATAACAAACGAGGAGGGTATGGTGGCCAAACTGAAACACCTTGCCCCAGTTGGCACCAGTCACCATACAGTGTTGTCATTCAGATTTAACTGTTACCTAGTTCAAGATAAGGCCAGGCCAAGGTGCAAATATTACAAGGGAAATTACAATGGGATGAGGGAAGAGATGAGGGGTATCAACTGGCCTGACTTATTAAGGTACAAGAACGCAGACACTACGCTGAATATCATAACTAGTAAAATGACCCATTTGATCGATAAATATATACCCAAGACCAAACCCAGTGCTTTTAGGAATACGAGGGGATCCCTACACATGAACCATGCGGCGGTCGACAAAATTAAGAAGAAAACCCAGAAATTCAAGACGTGGGTTGGGTCAAACGATGAGCAAGACAGGAGGATGTATGCAAGAGCCAGAAACCAAGCAAAGATAGAGTGTAGGAGGGCTGAAGGAGTTCCAGAAGGCTGGTTGCACGCGAGGTCAAGTCAAACCTAAAGGCGCGTTTTACCGCTTATGCAAAGTCGAAATTGAAAACGCTGTAGTAGGAGTATCAGACCTGAGGCTTGAAGATGGTAAGCATGCGATACCCTGACTGTGATAAAGCTGGAGGCATTGAACAGCTTCTTTTTTTCTCAGTGTAGTGTTCACAAGAGAGATGCAACTAACCTTCCTCATGCTTGAGGACAGACGGTTCGACACAGCACTGACCCACATTGTGTTCACAGAAGAGGTATTAGAAATAAACTGTCTGAGGCTAAAGGTCCACAGAGTCCTGGACCTGACATGGTGCATCCTAGAGTGCTAAGGAGCTGTGCAACGAGCTTGCAGAGCCCCTGAAGATTCTGTTTTGTAAAATGCCTGATGAGCAAATGGTCCCCAGTGAATGGAAAGTGGCTTATGTGAGTCCTATCTTCAAGAAGGGCGATAGGCACTCCACGAACAACTATAGACCGGTGAGCCTGACCAGCATAATATGTAAAGTACTTGAGAGTATTATCAGAGATGCAGCGATGGAACATCTACTACGAAACAACCTAAAGATTGCCAACACGGTTTATGCCGGGGCGCTCTTTGCTTGACACAATTGCTCAAGGTATTGGATAGTCAGAACTATTCTAGAACGGGGTGGTAATATCGACAATATTTACTCAGATTTTGCTGGGCTTGACAGTGTACCCACGAAAGGTTGAAAACTGGAAGGTACGAATTCGGGGAAATGTCCATGTGGATAGAAGACTTTTCGCATGACCGCAAGCAATGTGTGTGATTAATGGCACGAAATCGTCATCTGTACCTGTAACAAGTGGGCAAATCGCGAGAGGGTAGTGTATGGGGCCCGCTGTTGTTTGTTTGTTTCATAAATGATATGCCTGACGCTGTACACTCCCTCCATACAAATGTTTGCCGATGACGCCAAGTTATTTCGGGAAATTAAGAACCAAGCGGACTGGGTGAAGAGCTGCAGAAGGACCCTGTGGGCTCCAGGAATGGTCAAGGAATGGCTGCTGAGATCTCAATGTCACGAAGTGTAAGAGGATGCACCTGGGGCGCATCAACGGTAAGGAGAAGGCGTACCATATGTCCCAACGGGATGAAGAAAATGTACTAGTTGAGACTGTGTGTGAGAAGGACCTAGGGTGTATGTTGGACAATGAGCCAGTTTTACGCCAGAGAAGAAGGTAAATCAGGGCAAATAAAATTATTGGGTCTTATAAGAAGGTCGTTCAGATATCTAGGACGGTCCGGCCCCTCGCGTGACGATCTTTCAGGAGTGCGAAGTGCTTCCCTATCTGAGAGGACTGTCACCCCCATCTGGTCCCCAGATATGCCAGGGACTGTCATTG